TGGTGTGTTCCTACTGTTTCTGAGTTTCTGTTGAAGTCTATTTTACTACAGAATGGGAAAGAAGTCCAAAAAGGAAAGATTGACCTTACTGCTGCTGATGAAATCAAGTCACATGATACTAGAGCTTTATTTTTTGTTTGTTGAATCCTAATGTGCGGTACTGGATAGGATCAGAGACAGCTGAATATGCAAGTGTCCAGTCAATGGATTAAGGGACATGTGAATGGATTACATTTTATTTATGTAGTCCACTCAATTAAAAACACAGCCTGGTATTATTACCTCCACTAAGGAGGTTATGTTTTCTGTGATGTTTGTTTTGTTTGACTGGCCCAATTTTCATAAATCTTGGTGGAAGGTTACATTTTGAGAGAATATGAATCACAGGGCAGATACACAAAGTTATTTTTCACCTTTGTTAACATTGTGAAAGTGAAATTGTAATACAGACATAGCATATCATAGAGGAGTGGACTATTGGCCTTGGTCTGCGCTTCTAGTTGACCAGTGAAACATTGTTTTTACTGATGTTGTGACACTTCCTTTTTAGGAGAAGGTAATGTATCAGTTCTGCATTTTGTTTAACTAATTACAAAGCATGCAAAATGTCACAGAACTTTCCAATAAAAGGAATGCAAATCATATCCATTTGGCCTTTTCCCTTATGTACTATAATCACCCCCTATCCAAACCATTATCTAATGCTTTAGCATATTACCATCAGGTTTATCTTTGTCATTAATGAGCTACATTCAACCTACTATCTGTAGAATACACAACAGTATTGAAATGAATCCTTAATGGTCTTTTGTACAGATACAATATATGCAGGATCGACTGTTACCTGAATATTTTATATAATATTGTTAAAGGCATTGCAATACTCTTCATGAAAAAGAATGCTGAGGAGCCAACTGTAGCAGGCTTACTGGAGAAAATGCAGATTTGTTCAAAGCTGAACGTTTTTGCATTGGAAGTGAACAACACAATTTTTTCATAGTGGGAAAAAATGTCCCACAGAACAATCTTCAAAATTAAATGAACTGAACTAAAGTGAGATTATACAATGGGACTGTGTGTGTGTGTGTGTGTGTGTCTGTACCTTGACAGAGTTCTGGAGTACTGTAACAGGAAATACTTTGGTAGGCATAGAACTGAGAAACAAACGAAAATTCTCGTGGATTGATGTGTCTGCAGAGGAACAGAGAGGAACATTATTCACAGCAATAAACAAAAGACAAACGAAGTTAATGAATGTCACTCTGACTATACAAAGACAAATTTGACTGTTTTTCCACTAGAAGAAGGAAACAATCATTTAGTCATTTCCGTCCCCAGAAGCGTGGTTAAATTGTGCTGTGTGCACACTGCAGTGTGTTTTTTATATTTTTCTATATATATTTTTTAGATTGGCTTTAAGCCACCATTCATTAGACCTGTGCAGTCACAGAGGTTTTTTTTACACCTGGGGATTTACACATGCGATGCCTCTGGCATGTAACACAGTGGCTGTAGAGATTTATTTGTCCACCCGTCAAACATGGAATTAAACTGGAGCCTAGGGGATATTCTTGTTAATTCAAAAGCAGTATAAAGACTGTAATATGCAACAAAAATGATCTATTCTAAAATAAGACTATAAAGTAAAACTACCTCAATACCTTTATAATTAAACTGAACTTAAAAATACAAAAATAAATAAAAATAACAAGATGAAGATTTACTGCTAATACGGTATTAAAGGAGTCGTATTATGCTCATTTCCAGCTCTATATTCTTAGTCTGAGACTCCACTGGAGTAGCTTTGCATGACTCACTCTTCAAAAACATCTTTATTTATCCCATACTGGCCCCTTCATGCAGCCCCTCTATTCATTCTGTCTGAAACAAGCCATCTCTCTTTAAACCCCTAAAAACTCCCTAAAACCCACTTTCTTTTCAACAGCATAACAGCAAATTTACCGTTTATCAAACCACAAATGAGACAAGAACTAGGTTGTAAAAATGATAGACGTCATTGGAGCGGAGTGAGACGGGGCCACAGTGATTATGGTACAAAAGCATACACCTTTTACTTTTTTTTCGCCTTGTTTAACATCAACTTTGTACCATCACAAAAAATATATACAGTATATGACAGAAACTAACGAAATGGGTCCTTACACACTAATGTTGAAAAGTAATGTCTTGGGTTTTTGGAATTTTTAGATGCAAACACCTTTTTCCTGGCAAATTACTTATTTTTTTTTATATATAATGGAATTAAATACTCATTCTTATTTCCAGGAGCAAAAGTACAGAATGTAATCACAAATGGGCCAGAAGCCACGTGTGTGCAGTTACATGTGTAGTGTGTTTCAGTGTGGTAATACCAGGTTCGGTGAAGGTCTTGATGAGCTCCTCCATGGCTAACATCCAGGAGACAGCCAGATGACAGTTCTGCAGGAAGACCCATTTGCCACTCTTTAGTGCTGCAAGGATCATCTTCTCTGCTATCGGCCCCTGGCCTTGACCCAACGAGATGGACTCCACTCTGAGAGACAGGGAGAGATGGAATCCCTCTGTTTGTGGTTGCTGGCTATTGCCTGTAAACTATATTCAGCTCTATTCTGCCACACAACCCCAACTGTCTTACCCCCCCCAATCTAATTTTACCTGTCAAGACAACCTCTCTCTTTTGCAAAGCGCTGGAAGGCACCCATAGGGTCGGATCCTGTGCTGAGAATGAATATCAGTGGTGTGGAGGGGGACATATCGTTGTAGAGATTAGTCAGGTCAACTGGGGGGTTTTCCACAAACTGCTTCCCCAGGCTGACAATCACAAACTCTGTTGCTGCAAACACCGCCTGGACAAGAGAGGGAAGAAGTAAATCATAAAGGAAAGAGAGAGGGGCACAGTATATCCATGAGAATATGTGACAGATAAAAGGTAAAGAGACAGCATCAATGTAGGAATAGCTAGCAAGAAAGGAGTAAACAGAAAATCTAAAAGAAGTTATAATCAATGGACTGTGGAAGACATTGTGGGGACATAAATAGAAATAAAATGAAACAGATGTATCTATTAGCAGTGCACAGGACAAGACTGGAAGGCTTTATTTTCTAAGATTCAGTTGCTGGAATATCTTGTTTTCTATGGGAGTGCAACCAACAGAGGAATGTTTTGCCAGGGTCTTGCTGAGGGACCCGAGCAAGCATAATTTTAATTTGGTGTAATTAGTTATATCTTTAAGATCAACTGACATGGACAAGTCTCGAAAAAAAATCTCCAAAACCCTGATTGCCATAGATTTCATCCTCACTTACCTTTTCTTCCATAAAGCTCTTGATAAGGACTAGCTTCTGGAAGGCCCCCAACCTCTCATTCCAGTAGCCTCTGCTCTCCTGCTTCACCTCCTTGGACTCCCCAAAAGGAGGCAACCCGTTCTCAGGATTAATAGATGCTTGAAAACGTCCTAAAGGAGAGGTGACTGTCATTAAATGCTACACAAATCTTCTTATGGGTTTTTTTAAGACTTTTGCCTGGCGGTGTATAGATTTGTACACCATGTGGTAGAATGGTAGAAAAGTGATTGGTAGAGAAGTGAAGAGAATTTTGTAACACTGTAGTTTTTTATATTCATTATGATGCACTACATAGACTGATTCTTGGTAGATTAGCCGGGATATTAACACTAGGTCTGGGTTACCTAGCTTGATGTGTATATGCGTTCTAGTGATTTCCTTGGAGATGTCCTTGAAGCAGGGCAGTGTGTCCTCCAGCTCACAACATGTCTGCCAGTAAAAATCACTTAGCCATGGCACATCTGGCCGTTCTGCATAGTCCTGGGAGAAGGAGAGATTAAGGAAATGGGAAAAAGATGCAGGGCAGACTTTGAGTACAGAGGCAGTAAAGTAAAATTAAAGGATGTCAATAAAACTGTGAAGAGAGGATCATTCAAAACATCTATGGTGGGTAGACATAAATGATTAAGAGACGGTAATGGCATGAATACGCAAATTTGAAACGCAGTTAGCAAGAGAAGTGATGATGGATGCGCTGAAAGTACAATGCAAAAGACTGGAGAGAGAAGTACAGGGGTGAAGGAGAGGAAAGGGAGGACAGCATTTGCATGGTGATCACGGCGGCTGACAGGCAGCACCTCCTGCCTAACTAATGCCATATAAATGAGAACCAAATGGTAGGTGAACATACGAATACACCCCTAGTGGCACTGACTGATCTGTATTGTGGTCTCAAAACCATCTGAAGTCATCAATAAAACCAGAGCCAAATCTCAAAGGTCCTTTTATTCATCACTCTGTACTACCTTCCCCCTTCTTTACTGCCCCAACCACTGGTGCCTCAGCTGCACTCCCTCCGTCCCCACTGGGGTTTGAGCTGGAAGATAACAATTATAGAGAAATATGTAGAGAGACTGAGATTGAAAAGACAGAACAAAGGTGATTATTCAAATAAAATCATTGGTTGGACTACTCTGAGGTCAATTAGACTCTCAGTTCAGATGACCTCATTTGACCTCACTGACTGTGTCAAGGCGGGCCATATATCTGACTTGAGATCCTTAGGCTTTTGCGTTGATTTCTCAAGGCCTATTAGCGCACTACATACAGGTTATATAGACAGCAGAGAAACATATACTCTCATTTTTCTTATCTCTCTTCCACAGAAATATGTATTTTGTCAACCTCTCCAGACAGACTTTCTCATCTGTTCTTTTGTCTCTCGCTCACTGAGTGTGTTTCCATCAGTCTCAGTAGCTCCTCAGCCATAAAATGGCCAAGAGAGAGACTGCTACTTTGTGACAAAGGACTTTTTCCCCCTATCAACTCAATTCCAACATAAGGGGGGGGGGCAACCTGGGGGAATTTTGGAATAAAATAAAATGTACCTTGTTTATCTGCAGTTAAGAGAATCCAGCCAACAAACTGTAACAGATTTCCCTATTTTCGTTTAATTATAAGAATACCAGGAAGCCAAAAAGGATGAAAAAAAAAAACATTCTTTTTTTAATTTAGAACTCATGACACAGTTAAAAATAAGCCGTTATCTCTCTATTCCTGCAGGCAATTAAGCCTCATACCTTACGATTTGTTCTGGATTCAGTGGGCCAATCACCTTACAGAATAGCTGAACTGATTTTGCTTTTCTCAATGAATCGGCAGTCTGTTGCACCAACTACTGTGTATGTAAGTTCAAACACATCCTAGTTTGAATGTAGTGGGGAAGTTACGCTATAACTTAGTAAAAAAAGATGTCACAATACAAGATAGCTGCAGCATAGAGCTACAGTTACAAAATTTAGCAGGTTTAAGTCTGACGAAGAGGAAGAGGAACCAGAGAAATCAGCACATTTCAAGCACAATGGCATGCACACTGGGTGTTGTGCTCAATAGTAGCTGTTTTTTTTTTTCGAAAACGG